TCTTCGTACTTCACTAAAATTATTTTCTAGTGGATCCTGATTCAACCTTGATGTGCATAAATATTCGATACCCTTCCATTTTCAAATCATCCCATAACATTAAAGTACCCTTAAGTGTTTGGGCCAACTCGTCAAAACAAGGGGGACGTTTCCGCTTATTTGTAATATTAGTATCTACTTGCCATTGATCAACCCAAGATATTGCGCTTTTTAAGATCGATATTTTCTCATTATCCTGACCAACTTGTAAAGCCCTGGAAAATGGATTTTTTTGATACCTACTTTTAGAGTTTAATATATCAAAAATATTATTAACTCGTTCCAAAAAATTTGCCGTATTTTCCGCAGAGACGCTTTGTAATCTTTTTCCATGAATCGTTTTTATTCCCGCATATTACGAGACAATGAGAGTTTGCTGTCAATATCAAAAGCATTACGAAGATCATTCCAAGAAGCAATGCCGCCGTCGGTTAAGAAATCGGCGTCATGTAGACGATTTCTTACACTTTTTATAAGGTGAACTATGTCCAATAAATACATACATTTTCTCTCCGTTAAATGTAATGAAAGGATTTTCTTTGTCAGCTTGTAATAATTTGCATGTTTTTTGATTATTTGTACCCTGGTCAAACGTTATTGCACGAATTTTAAAGCCGGTGGACTGAATCTTTTCTATGCAATTTAATGTTATATATTTTAGTAATTCCGCTTTAATGGTTGTCTCCGATAAAAAATAAAACAATGGCATTTTATAATAGTCATGTAGACCTACTATTATAAAAACTGTTGCTTCTGTTGCGACATTTGCTGTTCTTCCGTAGTGCCCAAAGTCCTTATATCCTTCAATGTAATCTTTATTATTTAAATAAGTGAACCCTTTTCTAATTGACATTAAATCTAATAATAGTACACAATCTTTTTCCTTCTCTGATAACTCTAAACATTTTATTTTTAAAGCTTTTAAAATATTATAGTTAAATCCCGGTTCCAAATTAAATATGTTAGTCCATCGCTCAATACTTCTGACGCTTGGCAAAATAAATTCTTTATCGTCCTTCAAAAATCGGTAAGGTGTAGGACTTCGATGATAATCAATGGAAATTTTTTTTTTCGTCTTCATGCCCGGTATTTTGTTTTCGGTGAAGAACTTGCATTTTTGTAAAACTTTTAGCAGCGGGCGAAATAATTGAATTATTTATTTGATTCGTTACTGATAGATTTGATATTTTTGTTTTTAACCTTTTAATATGTGTTCGCTCTTTGTTAATTATTTGGTTTAAATCATGTATTTCTTTGATATATTCATTAAGCTTTTGTACCTTTTGGATTCTGTGGCGCTTTTTATTCTTTCGGCTTGGAGGAGTATCAAAATGGGAAATGTCTACAATTTCTAGGGACGTCTGTTTCTCTGGGGTTTTTTATCTTTCGAAAGAGACGGTTGGAAAGGGAGATTTGGTGTACATCTCTAATACCGGTTGTGAGTGGATATTCAAATTCTCTTTCTCTGAGTCCTATTAGAATTCAAAAGAAACGAACTGATTAAAACCACACCACAAAATAAAAATTTAAAATAACTAATAATATTCATAGCCTTTGAATGAAAAAAAAATAACAGTGATATTTAAACAAATAAAGATAATTAATAGTAAGTAATTAATGGCCCTGTATAGATGAAAATAAAAATATTAGAATGTGTACGTAAGCATCTTCAATATATCGGATAATCGAAAAAAAAAACGGCGTCAGCGATAGCTATGAATGAAAATCGCTATCATTTCCAAGCCAACTGGACACGGTTTTTTTTTCAATTTTACGGTATATTGTGAAAAAGCTTTCTATTATATTTATAAGAGAGTAGATATAGTATACAAGAGCGTTGCCAAAGTGGTCTAGAGGGGGGCAAGTTGATGTAACCGGAGAGTGGAGAAAGTATAAATTGGGAGCATTTTTTGAATCTCTAAGGGGGCAGCTGCACCAAACAGCAATATGCTACCCCCCTTTGGCGATGCCCTTGATATTGATATACAGGGTGGTCCGAACTGCATTAGGGAAACTTGAGTAGCTTATTCTGCAGATAAAAATAAGTAAAAAAGTTCGTATAAATTTATGTTTTAAAATGCTGTATGTAGAAGTTTCATTTTTATTTCGATTTTTTCAAAATAATTTTTGAACTAACGTCGATTTTTAGATCAATTTTAGTCTCGGAGTTTTTTGACACCATAAATTTATTTTCGATGTCAATTTGACTACTACATGTAGGCAGGGTTGCTAGCTCTGGAAGATGATGTTTATCCGCGATATTGAACCTGAAATTTTGCTTTTTTGCCAATTTCTGAAAATTTTATTAGAGCTCTCATCAGCTGATGAGACGAATTTAACGCGACTTCGAAGATTTTAGGCCTAGGTACTATAAGAATATATGATTTTTACGTGACTATTGAGGTAAATTAAAAAAATCGTTTTTTAGAATTGAAATAATAATGCTAAATAATATTTTTCCCGTTAAACTGAAAAATAAACTCCTAGATCTAGCGCGAAAACCGCTAAGTAAGAAATTATTTGGAAAAAATGGAAAAAAAAATTCTACGCCACGCCGTGTATCTTCAAAAAAGGCATTTTAGCACATAAATTTATACAAACTTTTTTACTTATTTTTATGTGCAGAATATGTTGCCTAAGTTTCCCGAATACAATTCGGACCACCCTGTATACTATAAATTGAAATATAACCATTCCTTTTGTATGTATAGAGATTATTATTATATTTGATATAGTCTGACCAACAAGAGGATACATGACAGTGACAGTTGTTGGGTGTCAGGTGTTTAATTCACAGGCAAATTGTATATTCTGTCATTTTCTGCATGCCGTCTGTCAAAATCATTCCTGATTCGTTGGAGAGAGTTTAGTCCTAATTTAATTGGGTCTTTAAATGTAACAAAAACATGCCATTTAAATGAGTATATTCTATCTATATTTATAGGTATCTAATATTTTTAACATCTACTAATAGTTATAATAAACTATTTTTTAACCCATATATGCCTAAAAATTTATGTTTGGAAAAGTTTTGGCCTTTCATGCAAAAAACTGATACAAAACATCTCAAAAGGCGATATTTATTATATTATTACAAAAAATCTAAACGAAAAATAAAATTTTGAACCGTCCTATTATGTAGGACAATAGACATATAATACAGTATTGGCCATAATGGTTGGAACTTTTTATATTTTGCAATATATTTATTACATACTACACATTTTAAGATTTTTATTAAATAATGTATAGCTTAATGCAAACCTAATAAAATAAAGTAAAATTTATATCAAATGTGGGCGGTGTTTGGGTTTTGGGTTTAAAATAAAAAAATAGGCTGGACAAAATAGTTGGAACAAAGGCATATCATTTATTAAAAACGAAAAACAAAATAAATTTTCTTAACATAATTTAATAAATTAATATTTAGTGTGATAACCTTTGGCGTTAAGGACGGCTTGCATTCTTCTTGGAATTGATTCTACTAGATTTTCAATTGTTGGTCTGTCAATGGTATTCCAGGCTTGAGTAAGTTTTTCAAACATCTCATTGGCATTTTTGATGGGTCCCAATTCACGAACTTTGCGGTCTAAATGTTCCCATAAATTTTCAATCGGATTTAAATCTGGACTTTGTGCTGGCCACTTTAATACTGCGATCTTTTCCGTGTCAAACCTTTACAAGCTCAACAACTCCTTTACAAGCTTTGAAGCGTGCTTCGGATCGTTATCATGTTAAAAAATGTAATTAACGGGCATACTTTCAAACGAGTATGGCTCCATTACATCACGAATGATGTCTCTGTACATGAACCTGTCCATTTTTCCTACCACTCGATGAAGAGGCTCCACGCCATACCAAGAAAAGCAGCCCCACACCATTACGTTACCACTTCCATGCTTCACTGTCGGTCTAACGTATTTTCTTTCTAGTCTTTTGCCCTTTGGTCGCCTAACATGTACAATACCATCACTAGAAAACAGATTATATTTGGACTCGTCACTGAATAACACCTTTTTCCAATCTTGCACAGTCCAATGGATGTGGTCTACGGCAAATTGTAACCGTAACTTGATGTTTTTTTTCTTAGTAATGGATTTTTGGCGGGTCTGCAGCTTTTGAGTCCACTACTCAGTAATCGTCTCCTTATCGTTCTTGCCGAAATATTGCAAGGTTCAGTTTCTCTTATTTTTTGTAAAATTTTCCAAGAAGATAAAAAAGGATCATTATGCGACACAGTTGAAATTCTTTTATCCATGCGGGTATTTGTAGCTCTAGGTCTTCCAATGCTTTTTCCCGGATATACGTGACCATACACTTTATATTTTTTAATAATACGTGACACCGTGTTTTTTGGAACTTTAAGTCTTTCAGAAATTACACTCTGTTTGATACCTTGGTTGTAGAAATCTAGAATTCGCTGACGAATATCACTAGAATACGCTTTTCCTTTTGCCATACTGATAATAATAGTTCAATTATTGTAAAACTGTGTAACACAAACGCTGGCTAGTTAGAAACTATAATTATCTAGAATACCTTTTGACAATTTGAATATAGTTCCAAGTTTTTTGTCCAGCCCCAAAAAAAAAATTACTGATAATATTGTATACAAAGATAATACTTGAATACTACATCTTATTTTGTTTATGTTTCCTTAGATTTATGCGGTCGTATCTAAATTCACTGTTCAATGAAATTTTTCCTCTTCTCAAAGCAAAAGACTTTTTGTTTTGTGTCAAGATAGTTTGAGGAACAGTTCTTCTAAAGGCTAGTTGGTCCATTTTACCTTCTTGTTTTTTTGTGAAGATGCCAAGCGTTTGTCATTGCCATATCAAGGCAATGAGCAATAAGGGGGTTTTATTGTACAATTTTACAAGCTGTGGCTGTTCGACTTGTATAAACTTCTTTTCTTTCTGTGAATACCTTTTTACGGAATTTATAAGAGCAATTCCAGCTGCTCAAGATCCAAATGTCACTATATTATTATCGTTCCACTTAACAAATATAATGTTCTGATCACTCATTTTTGTATAGTCAAAAACTCCTCGGTTTTCCTTCTTCATAGTGGCGCTGGAATTCAAAGGAGACATGGGTAAACGATTCTCGCGCATCGTTCCAGTGCTAACGATTCCTTTTTCAAGAAGAGCTTCCAATAAAGAAGGCGACGAGAAGAAGTTATCGAAGAAAAAATGAAACTTATGCTCCAGCCATCTTTCTCTAATTCTATCAGCATAACTCAGAACAACCGATGCACCAACTCCAAGGTCTTTGTAGTCCAAATTTACATAGGTCGAAGCTCCTTGATATGGTTCAAACCAGTTTGTATATCCTAGACGTGTAGTTCCAACCCAAAGCGTGAATCCATAACGAATCGGCTTGTTGTGATTAAATTGTTTACAGCCATGTCGGCCATTATAAGGAACCATTGCTTCGTCTATACTACGGTTTTCTTCCAGAGGAGCCTTTTCCAAAAAAAAATTATTGAGGCGATTGAAAAACGGATGCAGTTCGCTAAATTTATCATTTTGGTCTAGGTGCATATTGTCACGAGAAATAGCTTCACTCACCAATATATGAGCATCTCTTGAATTTTTCCAGTACCTACATTCTTCTTCTGGAAACACTTGAATATCCACTTAGGAACAAAATACCGAAGAAACATTTCATTTCTGAAATATCAACTAACGCGGTCTTATTCTTTTGTTGAATGTACCGATTTGTTTCTTCCACTAACATTGTCCAGGTTTCATCATCGAAAAAATATTCGAAAAGTTCTGTTGGAGACAACAAATTTTCACAACAGTTATATCTTCTGGAAAGACATAGTCATCAGCTAGCAAATCCTCTCTCATAAATTGGTAAATCTTTTTTTTCTTATCCTGTAATTTGGATTTTTGCGCGGGGTTGTGTTTAGCTTTATACTGTAGATCACTTAGTGGTAGTTCATCTTCAGAACTCCATTCTTCTGTTACCTGAATGTTAACTTCTACCTGACTTTCGTTCATACTTGATGGCAAATTATTTATGTCGAGTTGATCCTCAGCTCCAGAATCTTCATCCGTGATGTTGCCACAAGCATTGTTTGGTGGTAGCAACATAATAGAATCAGCATTGACCTCATCTTCCTCAAGCATTGCCAATGTCTCATGCAAGGAAAATCCTCTAAAAAAATTCATAGTATCCTATATGCTTATTGACCTAAATATAGGACATCAACATTTGACACCCTGTAGATCACTACATTTTTGAAATCAATAAAAAAACAATGTAACATTCATTTAAGATTATATTTATGGCAATTTCAGCAATAAAAAATAAAAATTCAAAAAAATAGACACTCACCTTGCAAACCGTACGTCATAGTCCGACATTTTGCCAAATTCTCGATATTCAATTATTTTTTACTTTACACCTTTTCACTTTTTGCCGTTCCTAACTCTGCTTACTCGTCAACATGTACCTCTAAACTGATCGCCATGTAAGAAATGCACCGAGATTAGTCAAAGTTTGGACAGGATTGAACAGGTTATGTCCGTCCTAAATATAGGTCAATAGGCATAAATGGGTTTTAATTAAACGGTTCTGGATAGATATAAAAATATTTTTTTTTAATATGCGTTAGTATCTTCCAAATAGACACAGTTTTCTATTAGGGTATTTTTATGATACTACGAGTATACACTCAACATTTAAACCAAAAATTTAAAACTTTAGTGATACGGCTCTTTCAGAGCAGAGATGTTCAGTCGTTAATACACACCGCCCGGAACAGAGAAGCTATGGAAAATGTTATCGCAAACATCCATTAATGGATCTGCACTAGAAGAAGAAGAGATAGTAAACTTTACAACCCATAGCATTTTGCACTCTTTTTTATTTGTTTAAAAAATTACCTAAATAAAACAGAAAAAAAAGGGGTTTGGTTTGGCACATAGTTCGGTTTTAAGTCACATTCACACACAAGGTGCAGAAGGTACCCATCATGGGGTCCGTTTAATTATAAATTTACTTAATGTCACAAAATTACAAATGATATCTTAAAAAATTATTTTTTTGTTACAGGTACCACCCACCAGTGGATCTTCCCACTACAATTATAAGAAGCATTACAATAGCCATAATATTGTTCTTATGGCTGTTGTGGATGCCAATATGCGATTTACATTGGTAGATATTGGAACTCCAAGGAGGAACAGTGACAGTGGTGTTTTTCGCAGAAGTATTATTGGGATGGGCTTGGAGAATCAATTCATGAAAGTTACAAGAGCATGTCCTCTTGATAAGGACAGAAATTTGATACTCCCCTATGTAGTAGTTGGAGATGAAGCATTTGCTCTCACCAATTATATGATGAGACCCTATCCTCGAAGTGGAATACTAAATAGAAGGAAGAAGATTTTCAACTACCGGTTAAGTAGGGCCAGACGTATAGTAGAATTAGCTTTTGGTGCTCTGAGAGGTCGTTAAAGAATTTTTGCGAAACCAATTATTGCTTCTATAGCAACTACAAGAAAAATTGTGCTAGCCACAATTTGCTTGCATAATTTTATTCTTAAAAGAGAATCCTCTTTGCCAATCAGGGATTCTAATTACCCATTAGAACCAAGTACAGGCCTTATTGATATAGGCCGAACTGGTAGTTATGTTTATACCAGAGTATAGGCGGTAGTAATGGTAGTAATGTTTATACCAGAAATGCTGCTAATCTAAGGCAGATTGTCAGACTATTTTGAAAAAAGTGCAAAATAATGACTTTTAGATGTATGTAAGCAGATATATGTCTATAAATTATATATATTTTTTGTATAAAGTGGTAAAAAACAGAATTTTGCTTTTGATCCACAGAGTGCTCGACAGGGTATAAGTAGCTGCTCTTTTTAACTATTGATTTTGAATGAAACTATTTTAACGGGTGATAGGAGAGGGCGAAATAAGAAAAAAAAAGTTCGATAACATGGCGGTTGGATCTGCACCATTTTTAATTTACAGGGTCTTTAAAATAAGATGATGATGGGTTTTTTGGTAATATTTACAAAACGTCTAGAGATAATTATAATTTTATACACATATCAATGTTGTAACAAACACAATTTGTTATCAAATTGTTTTGAATCATGTTCAGAAGGGTGTTGAACCAATAACCACAATTCTTAACACTTTTATCAGAGCAAGATATTTGTGAAAGAAAAATATACAGTGTGTCAGTCTGTGAAGTGTGGTGTTTCATTATTGGATACCTTATCATTCAATGCAAATATTAGTAGGTATTAGGCCACTTGAGCTAGACAGCCACTTCCGGTCCAGACACCGAATTCCAGGAACCCAATCAGATAAGAACATGTAAAATACGTTAATAAATAAGGATAAACAGGTTTGAGCCGCGGTGAACCGCTTTAAAACAGAAATAAACAGGTTTGAAGAAAAAATGAACAGGTCTGTTGTTTTAAACTAAAAGTTGTTCAAAGCAGTTCAAAAGCGGTTCACCGTGGCTCAAACCTGTTTATCCTTATTTATTAACGTATTTTACATGTTCTTATCTGATTGGGTTTTTGGAATTCGGTGTCTGGACCGGAAGTGGCTGTCTGGCTCAAGTGGCCTAATACCTTCTAATATTTTATTTATTTTTGAACCTGGTTCAAAAATTAAATAATTTAAAATTATTTTTTTTTAATTTAATTTAATTAAATAAAACCAAATATGTTGTGATGCATATATATTTATAAAATTTAATACATTTTTAAAAAATTAATCTGTCTCATTATTCTCCTCCTCTTCTAGTATCTGAAGAAATTTGATTTAAAGGCGGTTTCTGTTTCTTAACGGTAACTTCCTTAACCCCTCTCCCATGAGAACTACAAAACCATCAACCCCATCTGGTTTATTCCCTTCTGAGCTTCCTAGGACTTTAAGTATTTCCTTCTGGATTTCTACGTCCTGTTTTCCAGAAACAGAACCTCCCTAAAAGTAATTTGAAAGTTTTGTAACAAGTTTTATATATAACTTCAGTTTACATAGGGTGGTAAAAAAAATTGGTGAAACAGGTAATTATAAAGTGAACATTTTTAAGATTAAAGATAAAAATTAAGATTTAAGTTAACAATTTTTAAGTTAACGATGAAGTGAACATTTAACATTTTAAAACATTTTTAAGTGAAACAATTATTTATGGCTGCGGAACATAAAACAGTGGACAGGCATTAGTAACATACAGACGTTGATCCACACAGCCAGAGATAGGGAAGCCATGGAAAGTGTGGTCGCAAACATCCATTAATGGATAAGCAGAGAAAGAAGAAGAAGAATTAATTTCAATCTTAACCAAAAGATTAGCTGGATATTGGGCAAAAGAAAACTGCTTTAGACGATCAAAGCATATGTTTCATCGACGCGACGTTTCGACCTCGATGATGAGGTCATCTTCGTGACTCTAAAAAATGTTTTACATTGAATTTGTAGAATAATAAAAATGAATGGGGTCACATTAAAAAAAATGAACAATTATTATACATAGAAGTTAAAACTTGAAATGAAATAACATAGATAAAATAAAATTACATACACAGTTACACTGAAGAAGACTGAAAATTTTCACTTTTAGGTATACATTACTTATTATTTTAACTGTTTATGTATGTAATTTCATTTTATATAATAATAATAATAAACTTTATTTCTAAATTACAATAGAATAGTCAAAACAAATACAATAATAAACCTTTTACCTATGCATCTATATGAAAACGAAAAAATACTCATACAAACAATATCTTTCTTTTTTCTTCGTATGATTTTAACAATTTATTATACATTTTCCATAAAAAATTCATTTATGTTGTAATATACTTTTTCTAAAAAATGTCTATACCTATGTGGCGGATTCATCTATCCAAAAAAATCCTTATGGGTTTTTCGCCACTGCACTGCAAGAAAAATCTACAAAATAAAATAGTTATTTTTTGTAAACACTTCTGCGTTAAACCTAAACGGACGCTGCTTGTCAGAAGTTGTGTTTACAGTAATAAAAATTTGCCTAACAAAGAAAAAATGCTTACGTTTCGGAAAGTTTTCTCTTTCCGTCGTCGGAAGCAAAAGAATATAAAGAATCAAGAAAAAAAAACTATTTAAAATATTTAAATTGAACTATTCGAGAACACTTTACTTTTTAAAGCAGATACGTCTACAAGAAATCGTTGACGTTCTGTTAAAATGATATTATATTAAGTTAAACTTCAAAATTAACAATTACTACCTGATAATTACTTAATAAGGTAAAACCAAAAAGCCCAAACTTTCTGTATGAATATTTTTAAATTTTACGTATGTTATGTTTATTTATGTAATGTTCTTTAAAATCAAAGAAGCGATTGCCATACATTACTAACATCTACAGATGCATGAGCAATACATTTATTTTTATTAGATTGAATTAAAAAAGCCTCTTTTATTTTTCTTTTAGAGGCTATCGCTTCTTTCATTATAATTTTGGCGTTATTAAAATTTATTCCGTGCCCTGTGTCCCATGAATGCTGACAAATCTTAGATTTGTGTGTTTTTTTTTATTATTTAAGAAAGGGAGATTTTCACAAATCTAAGCAAAAAAACTTTTCAATAAATCAGGCAAAAACCGCTTTTGGTAAAAAATGGTTTTTACCGACTTCTCATTCTGGGGTACTCAATTGTTGTTTAGATATAATATCTCTGAGATTTCTAAAAAGATATAAGGTAGAATTTAATTATGTTATTTTATTTCAAGTTTTAATTTCTATATATAATAATTGTTGATATTTTTTAACGCGACCACCTCATTTATTTTTATTATTCTACAAATTCAATGCAAAACTTTTTAGAGTCCTGAGGATGACTTTATAGAGGATGAAACGTCGACAAAAATATATATGAATTGACCATCTAAAGTAGTTTTCTTTTGACCTACATCCAGCTAATATTTTGGTTAAGATTATACACTGAGGTCACGAAAAACAATTCATATGTGTAACAAAGTATGGTATGCAACATAATCTTAACTCTTTCTTTTATTTCTTGAAGTAAGGTGGAGGACTTGTAAATGGAGTTGTGAAACATTTGTTGCCACAGGAACTTCTGTAGATTGGAACTCTTGAGACACTGATGATGAAGACGAGCAGGGCAAGCTTGCATTGGAAATAGTCCTAAAAAAAATAATAATACCAATATCATTAATTATGAGAATTCTATCCTTACATTGTATTTTCATTAGTTTCATCCAGAAACTTCATTAAGTCATAATACTTAAAGGTGGGCTTTGGAGGTACATCAGCAGCACCAGCACCACTTGGTACATACGCAGTTACCTTCTTCTTAGCCCTCATGAAGTCATCCCTCAGTTGTCTCTATCTTTTTTTACTAAATCTATGGTAAATGGGCCTGAAAACAATAAATATTATAATTCAAAATCATGGAAGGTTGCTAAATAATTTGAACAATCTCCAGTGGTCAACTAGGGATAAAATGAGATATTATGCCAAAGTAAGTAGGTACTAAAGTAAACAAATCCGTATAAAACATTTCTGTTCATATTATTGGGTTTATTTTGTATTTTATGTTGGTTAATGTTTGTAAGCTGTTCAAGGAAAAGGATGTGCCATCAGAAATTGCTGGGGATTTATCGATGGTACTGCACGTCAGATGTGCCGGCCAAATATAAATCAAGAGGAGTATTATTCTTTCCCATAAAAGATTTCATTGTCTAAAGTTTCAATCAGTCCTCTGACCTGATGGCATTATTGCTAGTTTGAGGGGAACTTTCCCAGGAAGAAGGCATGATGCTGGTATTTTCAGAGACGCCCTTTATATGCCGAGTTAGAGGCAAAAGCAGTATTTGGTGAAGAGAAATTTACTTTCTATGGCGATCAGGCCTATGGATAAATGGAGTTCCTGTTAACCCCATATCCAGGAAGGGTAGAAGATTTGCTTCCCTATCAACTGGAATTCAACCAATCTATGAAGAATTTACGAGTTGCAGTTGAGTGGGGTTTCCAAAAAATCATTGGACAATTTGCTTTTGTCGACTTCGGAAATAATCAAAAATTGCTGTTACAAGATCTTGATTCAATGTATTTTGTTGACAAATTGTCATACCTGTTTATATGGAAGTCAACCAGCAACCTACTTCCAAATAGACCCACCTACATTAAATGAATATTTCGGATTGTAAAACCAGTTTTTATTTTTTTATTGAATTTTACTTATGTAAACCAAAAAATAGTGAAGAAGTTTAGGGTATTTTTTATGTTGGAAAATTTGTGGTACTTTATTGTTAAAAATGTAGTTTCTTTTTTTAAAAACTGTAACGTTTTTTTAGTTCGTTACATGTCTTTGTATATGATATATGATGTCTGGCGTATCATCACCGGATTCCCTATCGTTCAGGCCGGATAATTTATTTGACGCGCTTGGCGTAATTTTTACGTTCTCTAGTCCACAACCCTGTTACCGTTTGACTGCTCTGTGGAGGCGCTGTCAACATCGCTTCAAGGTTCGCTCTCTGCGCTGTGGACTCACTTTTGCTTTTGTCGCTCTGTAACCATCATCAACACACCATTCCGGCTTTTAGAAATGGTAATTATTTAAATCTTGCTGTATAATCTGAATCAGCTACTATTTCAAAGCAACAGGTAAAGATGAGATATTATCCTTTTAGATTCGATATTATTACTGCATATTTTTAGGGTAGAGTTTTAGATGTCCCAACTTAACTTGTATTTGTATTTTGCTGGCACGTTGGCGTTCCTTTTCTTTTGTCCTCCAGAATGTTACATGGAAGAATGGACAATTTCTTTGTTTATTATTGAGCCCTCGGAAGTAATTCGAGGTAGGTTTATTGTGTTTATTACACCTTGGTAGGTTTTAAACACGAGTTTGGAATTTTTGGGGTCCTATGGTTGGATGCCCTATGTACGGATGTACTGTGGACGAGTGTCCCATGTAGGGATGGTTTATCTTATATATAGAGTGCCCCAGCGTGGATGTAGCTTGAGCCCCATGCTGCTTCTTTTCCATTTCTAAGCCTAGTCAATAGTTACGGCTATATTGATTCATGGTGTCCTCATTCTGGACCCTTTTGGTGTATTGGCCAATAGGATAGCCAAGAGACAGTACAGAGATGCGAGCCCACCTCACGCTTTTACTGTTTAAAGCATGATTGCATAAAGAACAGCTAAGTGTAGATTTAAGTTCTAGTTTTCAGTCGATTTCCACTCTTAACATAATAACGTACATTTTAAATAATATCGTACAGACTATGTTTAGTGGTTAGATCGTTAAGAACATTCATGTCGATTTAGTAGTTACAATATGATTTAGATCTTAGGTTTCATTACATTACGTCTTGTAATAGTACTACTTTCTATAGATATTACTATTGCACTATTTTAACAGATGAATAACCAAATATAGATTCTAGAATCTACGGGTTGCAACATCTCAGATTTAACATCGCATAAAATTTAACAAATTAAATAAAGTAATGCTACCTTTCATATATTTTCTATAACTTTACACGCATTGTATTTTTCCATAGTCTTTTCATAGAACATATTTAATATTATTTACATACATAGCTTTACTCGACATATAACCACTATAATTATTATTAAAATTGTACAATGCTATTTACCATCAGAATACATCATGAATATGTCATAGTCACTAGTTTTAAGTAATAAACAACTGTGTTTTCTTTCTCTGTTCATGCCTGGCGCCTAATATTTGTATTTTTGATTTATTATGGTTAGTTAGTTTCTGGTCCAGTGAAATACCTTATCCACGACTGCTCTACCAACGAAAATCTACCGTTCGCAGTGGTAATGTTTTATAAAAAACGCTATAAAATTTCATTTAGTTTTTTTAATGTTATTTGTATTATTTATCATATTCTTTATTATGACAGTTGTATCGATTACATTAATTTGTACTTTTACATATAAGGAACTTATTATTTGGTTTGCTAAAACAAGAATTTATAAATACTAGTATACTTGATATAATTATAAGAAATAGTTTTCTTTACTTTGCTTTTATTTATTTGAATAACATTGTTAATTAACGAAACTGGGAACAAACTTATAAACTAATAAAAGTAAATATAATTTTATTTAAAGAAGAGAGAAATTATTTAAAAGATTGTCAATTAGCAATTGTTGCGATTTTAATAATTGACTGGTAGTTTTTTCTAATTCAATTTTCTCCTTTTTCATTTTCAAATTTCTTTTTCTCCAAATTAATTTTCTACCCCCTTTTCTAATTCAATTCTTTCAATTCTCTCTTTAAAATCCATTTCAATTTTTCTTTCTTCTAATTCAGTTTTCCTCTCTTCCAGTGCGATTTTCCATTCTTCCAAAGGAATTCGCCTTTCATCCAACTGTAATTCTTTTATTTTAATACTGTTATCTCTTTCATTTTTTTCTTTTAAGTAAGATTAACATTTTTTTTCCTTATAGGTTCTCTTTTGGTAAGTCTTTTCCGAATGGGACCTCAAAATTAAATAAATCATATAATATATTTAATATAAAAAAGTAGAAAAAAGACTCAAAGTCTCGGTCTCAACGTTTATACAATGTTAAACTGTTACACGTGTTTCGCTCATATACGAGCATCATCAGACAAATACAATTAAAATTAATCCAAATACACGTTCACATTTTACAATTAAAACAACACTGTGTTGTTTTAATTGTAACAGTTTAACATTGTATAAACGTTGAGACCGAGACTTTGAGTCTTTTTTCTAGTTTTTTAATTTGAACCAGGTCTCTTTGAGAAAAATGGATGCCTTCTTTAAATATTTTAATATAGGCTATTCTCAGTTTTGTTTAGAATGTAGGTAACTTACATTTGTAGTTACAGGTATAGTACAAGACTTACCTAATACTTTATTGTTACTAACAATTGGTTTATTTGGTATTGAAGTTTCAGAAATCGCTTTATGTATAGCAGGTGATATTTGAGGCTGATCTACTACATTGCTCTCTTCTTTTTCATTAACTGCATCCTGATTTTCAATGATAATTTTTTCAGTGCCATCAGTTGGTATTGAATCTTCCATTACTAAAAAGTATAAATTATTGCTGTTAAAGTATTTAAACTATAATTGTCACTTAAGTATGGAATTAACCACAATTTATTAAATTCATAGTTGATGAAAATGCTATTAGAAAGCATTATGTGTGTTAAGATATATAATATAAATAATAATATAAAAATACATATCACTATCTACCATAATCATTATTAAAAACACATATGCTTCTAAGAAAATGTGAAGCTTCAGCCACCTCCTCATTTAAATCGTTATTATGTTCCACAGCAAATTTTTCTCTTATTTTCTTTCCCAATTCACCTAACTTCTGCTCTTTTGATATTTTCTTTGTTTGTTTGAAAGTGTAATTATGTTGTTTACACACATTTATTATTCTTACACAAAACTATGGAGTGTAGAGGTAAGGAGAAACAACTGTTATGGGACTTTTATTGAAAAAGTGGTCACAAAATGGGAAGAATAAGGTTTCACCAAATAACCACAATGGCCCTAAAAACGCATAAGTCTAAAAAGTGAAAAGTAACCATAGATAAGAGAAAAGAGAATAAAAATAAATAAATAACATAACCAAACATTACCCAAGAAAAAAACTTTGTTTTTATTTTTTAGAATATAAAATAATTATTTTTTATCCATATTTTGTGCTTTATTTATTATTTAAGAATGGTTAAAGTGTGTGTGGTGCGAAGTTGATTGAATAGCTGATGGAAAAATAAATAGCAAGGTGAAGGGTTTATTTTTTCCTTTGCTTTTTTTCGACCTACGGTATGTAAAGTACATATAATTCAAATTCAGTATTATAATATTTGTATTATATGTAAAAATTAGAGTCTATCAAAAGTGTAGTAAAGATTTGTCGTAAGATTATTTCGTAAGATTATTACATGTTACAAAGTATATTTTTACAACCTGAAATGTAACCTGAATAAAATTTATTTTTAATGATTTTAAAGTTTGACAGACATGCACAAATTGTTGGCATTTTTTAAACAAGTAAAAGTAGGAAATACATTAAAAATTGTACTTTCAAGAAATATATTTAACTAAGTGCTGTATTTTAATAATCTATCATTTTAATCAAAATCATCGGGATAATATTAGGTATTGATTTTCAGAAAAGAATTAGATTACAGCGATGGTCAAAAGCATTAGATATTGCTTTGAAATCTACAGATAAAGTATGGCGGTTTCATTTTAAAGAACGAGATGTTAAAGTTTATGATAAAATTATCATCAGAAATACTGTCCACTTACAGTATTTACATAGGAAAATATTGGAAGATGAAGCTCTATCTACTACCTGAGGAGTTGCAACAACAGCAACAAGCAAGAAGGGAACCATTAAATGAATATTATACACATAAGTATTATTATACACAGAAAAAGTAATATTATACACATAAATATCAACATTTTGTAGAGCAATAACAGAATAAAATACCAAAATATGAACACCAGCTACTGAAACAGCGGCGGCAAAAAAAACGGCGTCAGCGATGCCTATGAAATGAAGATCGCTGTCATTTTATATTTATGTAAAATGATATGGAGAATGTCATCGGTGTTCATTTCCGAGCCAACTGGACGCCGTTTTTTCTTCGATCATACGGTATTATTATACACATATGTAAAGAGTAATATTACACACATAAAGATCCCTTGATAAAGATCAACATTTTGTATAGCAATAACAGCATCGAATAATGGAAATAATGGACCCTATTGCTCAAATCAAAAACAAAATTTCAGCATTACCACTTTATTGGTTATATCAATAAACCTAAAGAAATTGAGTTTATAAGTAGATCCTACAAGCAAGCAGATCTTAAATCACATAATTTTAAATGAAGATTTATTTATTATAGTATGTATATTTATTATAGTAGGTATGTATAAACTATATAAACACTTGCATCTTGCATCTTTTATTCAATGAATTAACAAATTGCAGGTTATTTATTCTAATAACGAAAAAAAACTTGGATCAAAAAATATTTTCTTCTGATGAGGTTTATGAATATAAAAGTCTGTTGAAGTTTGGCCATTATGTGTTGGTATACAATTTATTTATGATGTTACAGTAGTTAAACCATCCTAGTAACAAAACATGTTTAAAATCGACTATTCTTAATGAATGGCAACTACCAACTTGAGAGGAAGCTAAGAGAAAGGTTCTATTGGGTGGACTACAAGGAAAACATGAGGATCTGGAAGGGCTATAAAATTACGTCCCAAACCATGGGACAATGGGAAACGAAATTCAAAGGAAAAAAATACAATACGTGGGATGCAAATTATACTGCAAAGAATTGAGAAAAAGAATTATTAAAAGTAGTTAATGTTACGATACTTAAACCATCCGACTACCAAACATATTTAAAATCCACTATTCTGAATGAATAGCAACTATCAACTTGAGAGGAAGCTGAAGAACGATTCTATTGGGTGAACTACAAGGAAGACATGAGGATGTGGAAGGGCTATAAAATTATATTATTCCCTGTCCTAAGCCATGTTGGAATAGCTGGGAGTGAAAAAGAAGATAATACTGCACACGATTCTTGTCTAAAAGTAGTTGATGTTAAGGTAATTAAGCCATCCGACTATCGAACATTTAAAATCCACTATTCTGAATGAATGGCAACTACGATGGGAAAACGTAAATAAATACTTGTACAGTATAAAATTATGTTGAGGTGAATTCAAAATTAAACAGGTACTTCAATAGTGTCTTAATATTCCAACATAAAAGATATATGTTTAAAAACAATAATAATATGCCACAAAGGCGTGTAGTCACACAAACTTCTCACACAGAGAATACGCCACACAGGCTAGTCACAAAGACTGTTCTCGCATAGAAAATATAATGCACAAGTTAATAGGCCAAACTACGCTAAGGGACTAACTACGCTACAGGGGGTAGTCACAAAGACTGTCCTCACATAGAGAATATGCCACACAAGCTAGTCACAAAGACTGTTCTCAGTTTTTTTTGGTTTGGATGGCTCTACACAATGTGTATACAGCCACTACATTAACAGAACTGATTATGACTCATTCTAAGCAAAAAATAAACAATGAGGTTTTGTAGTACTTTTTTTATTCTATACACAAATGATTATTTCAAAAGCAAAACAGGTTATGAAATTAGACTTAGACTTAATAAAAGAAGATAGAGAATATACTCAGTGAATTTGGCCAGCGTTATAGGCAGCTGTTCTGCAAATAGATAAACCATTCTTAACATGGAATCGCTAATTACCTAACAAGAGCGGAAAATTGATTTTTCCGTACGGCTGTAGAAAAAAATAATATTACGCGCATAGTTACCTTTGTAAAAGTATGGCAAATTATTGATACGTTTTTTCTTCGGCTCAATTAAAACAGTGGATTCCCACATGCCATTCAAAGTTGAGCGATGGTAGACAAGTCTTTGATGACTTTCAGTTCACGTATGGGCCAGACCTTCCTTGGACACAGATTTTTGTAAAGTGTAGAAAAATGCGTAGTCCAGCATTTAAAAAATCAAAGGTGATCTCAATAACATCAAAAGGATTTGGTTTAACTCTTGCAGCTTTAAAAACTTCAGCCCATTCATTTGGAAGTTCCACACGCGACTTTTGCTGTACAAGTCCAAAATCCTTGTCGCATTCCATAAACGAATGTCCTCTGATAGGAAAGCTGATTTTGATGTCATCAAATCTTTACTGCACATGCACTAAGTGATGAAGGTAACGGTTAACCGTATAGTTCTTATTTTGACCCCCACATGAGTCGCAAAATATATCAAGGACTCTAACACTGCTGGGTAGAAAGTTGTAGACGAAATGATGCAACATCGAGCAAACCTCGTCAGAGCCTTTTCGTCCGTTTGTTTCAGGATAAGTATAAAGAATACTTCGGCTAGTCGATAAAATATGAATATTAAAAGAGAATATAGACAAATGTCTCTTATAATAAACATCGTTTGTGCTGATGTTGGGCACTGACAGATTTTTAGCAAAGTCCATGCATATTGCTTCTTTGTTCTCATTTGATCGACTAGATAGTTTTGCAGCCTTTTTTCTTGAATAAAACTGTTCAGCTTTATGCTTGTGCAGCATATTTTCCTGTCGGAGGGTATTGATTTTGTCATTTAGTTGTTTTTTCTCTATGTCATTTCCTGAGACGTTCTTAATTTTGGCTTCTAGGGACCTAGTAAATACTATATTTGGCAAATGCCAAGTATTCATCACAGATACTACACGTATCTGACCTTGGATATCCAAATGATATGTTGAAGTCTTGTGAGAAGATGGATCTATAAGTTTCATAAGACACACAATATTTCTGATCCTCGATGGTGTTTTTGTACATATCGTACATTTTTTTGACATTCAAATCCTCAGGTAGGTAGGTTTTTGACGAATCCTTTAGGCTGTAGTGACTTTGACGTCCTTTAAAAGAGCTAATATGATTGACTACTAGATCTTTAATTTCCTGTTTGAACTTATAAGGTCTGTTTGAGAGTCTTCCTCGTTTATCAGTTGGAGCGTAGCCAGTCATTTTTAGAGATTTTTGAAGAATTTCAAGGTTTTTCTTGGTTATACCATGCAAAGAAAGAAAAGCCTTAAAACAAACAGGCACTTCTTTTATCTGGCCTTCTACAGAAATTCTGACATGATAAGCATATGAACTGTCATGTAATATTGCGACTTCTTCTGTCTTACGTGGGCGTCGCTTTTGTATATGACACAAACTAATAAGTCCACACAAATAGATGTTCTGCTCGTCCACGGATTTTAATAAATTAAACTCACGTATTATATTTTGTGTACACACTTCTTAGCATTGCCTCTAAAGTTTATGAGCGAATACTGGAAGCAAAACTCGTAAATCAAATTGACAACCAACTTGAGGAATCGCAGAGTGGATTTAGGAAGGGCCGTAGTATACACGATCCTATATTTACAATTAAACAAATAACGGAAAAAATTAGAAATACAAATGTCCAAGTTTACCAAGCCTTTCTTGATCTTGAAAAAGCCTTTGACAGACTTCCAAGATCTGAAGTTCAGAAAACCCTAATAAATAAAAACATTGACCAAAACTTAAGAAGAGCAATAATGAGTTTTTATTCCGACACTAGAAGCTATGTAAGGACCGATAATATGCATTCAGAAGAGTTTTCAATTCGTGAAGGTGTTCGACACAGGGAGTGTCCTAAGCCCAATTTTATTCAATTTAGTTATGGATGATGTAATGAAAGAAACCAGACGAGAGACATCTAAACTTCTTGTAGGGTACCAAAATATGCAGCCTGTGTGGATCAATGAATGCGCTTTCGCTGACGACATCGTTATATTTGCTAGGAACGAAACAGAACTTAAAAGAAATCTCAATACATGGAACAACAAATTATCTTCCAAAAACCTTAAAATAAATGAGAACAAAACAAAAATAATGATTAGCGGAAAGAGTGAAGAAATGGTTAACATAGAAATAAATGATCAAATAATAGAGCAGGTAAATTCTTTCAAATATCTGGGAGTCCAAATAGAAAGCCAGGGACATCAAAACCAAGAGATAACTGCAAGAGTCCAAAGCGCTGCAAATCTATACCATAGCATAAAGAACACATTTCTAGGTAAAAAAGAGGTATCATTGAAGACCAAAATCAGCGTGTTTAATTCAGTATTCGTACCAATATTAACATTCGGTAGTGAGAGTTGGGTTCTCACCAAGAGACAAGAAAGCTTAATACAAGCAGTAGAAATGAAATACCTACGAAAAGTGCTAGGGTTACGAGGATGAATAAACTACGCAATTCCCATATTAGAGAGTAGCTGAAAGTCCAGCCAGTACTAACAACTATCGAAAACTGCCAGTTGAGGTGGTACGGACATTTGAAAAGACTCAACAAAGAGAGACAAGTAAGAAGAGTATGGGAGGCAAAAAGGCAAGAAAAAAGGAAAAAGGGTAGACCTACAACTACTTGGGATCAAAATGTTGCAAAATTACTTAAAACTAGAGGGATCGGCTGCGCCGAAGCAGCAAGCATGCCCTGGACAAGAAGTGGCAAAATTTTATTTATGGAAAGTAGCTACTAGAAGCCTACACCTTCGGGTAGAAGGCCTTCGATTATATATATATATATATATATATATATATATATATATATATATATATATATATATATATATATATATATATATATATATATATATATATATATATTATATTTTGTCTTGCGTCAGCCGGAACATTATCAAAACACTTGAGCCGTTTACAGCGACAATCGCTTCCTATCACGTAGTTTTGTAGGTTGTTTTTTAGAAACATCGGTGAGTTTCCTGTAACGTTTTCTCTTTTTTCCCTGAACTTGCGTAACAACAAAGTCTTCACTGTCATTAACACTACTTATTGGGTCCATTTTAATGTTTATTAGCTCTACAATATTCAAATACGACTTGTGGTTGCGATCTAACAAATTTGATAGATAAATAAACACGAGAACCGGTTAACAGAATCAGAAAAAAGCAACTAAAGCAACAAGAGCGTCAAATTAGAATAACGACTTTTTGTGACGTTCCCCCTTCTTAGCATGTGGCGCGCGGACTCTCCTCCTTTTTAGCCAGTACAGCTTAACTTAAATTTATGATATTTGGCGACTCCTCCCTTTTTTCGCCTGTGTAATGTTCCTAAGTGATAGTTCTGCATATTTAAAGTTGAATGGACTGAACAGATCAAAATGAGCAAAAATTGACATTCCGCCTATTTAGCCTGTACCCTTCATATTCAATCAAATATCTTAAAATTTATCTGAGATTCAGAAATATAATATATCACAATAAAAATAATAAACAGTAACAAACTAGTTGCTCAGTAAGATAAAATAAACTCACCTTAATTAAACTTCTTATTCGGCACAGCAATGGAACTCAGAACCACCACAAAACTTTAACTAAACCTGAGAAACTTTAATAATTTTAATTTAATAAGCACGTACCACTTCTTTCTCTGACGCTGTCTAATACTGTTTTAGACGGTGATACTGTATTGCGTGTTATTTGAAACCTTTTTAAAAAGTGCAGGTACCATGAATTTTGGGCTTGTTTTTGTTTACATTCGAAATTCCATTGCGCTCCGGCTTTTGAAATATTTGTTTATTTTACGTCAAATAAAGAAAACGTTGCATAGAAAAATAGTTCTCAAAATTATAATTAACTTTAATTTTAAACTAAAGCTTTTTCATCTTGAATAAGATTTACGAAATAACTTATTGAGAAAAAAGAGGCACGGTCTATTGCTTCTGAATAATCGATAATAAAACAACATATTAAATTAATTTTTATACTAAATAAATGTATGAAGTTATTTTAAAGCTGCATTATTTATTTAAAACCCATCACCAATTATTACTTTAAATAAAATTTTCTTAATTATAATTAACATTAATTTTAAGCTAAAACGATCACAATATTTTTTCGTCGTCTTGAATTATATTTGCGAAATAACTTATGAGAAACAATAAAAAAGGGCCTAGTATTGCTGCTGAATAAAAATCTGTAATTTATTTCATGTGACATGAAAATAAATTTGTATTTTTTTGAAACCCGCGGCTTCACGTATATGATTCACGTCAAATATTTATGTGTTTTGAATCATCTGTTCTAAAAATGTTCGGCGCATGTCTTAAATTTTAGGTTTTTGCTACAGCAGCGCCACACTGTGGTCAATTTTGTCAAATTAGCCGGAAAAAAATATTAGTGAAAATTACTTAACTTTGATTGATAACTATATACGATTTTATATGTTAGGTATCATAAAATTACATTAATAATATAATTAATAAGAACAGGTCGTATACAGGGTGTATAATAATTAAAAACTTAGAAATGTTTCGGTATTTTTTTTATTTTAAATAGATTTTGGTCACGATCATTTGCATAATATGTTACATATTTAAAAATTATCATATTATAAGAATAATACTATGGGATCTTACAGATTTTGCTAACAGTAGTAAGTGGCATGTTAAGAAAAATTATAGAAATATGTTATTTTAGGGAAATAGTGTTACTTAAATATTAATAAAGGGAAAAAAAACATTAAATATCATTGATGCGTGATTACCTAATAGCTACTTAAATTATGAACAAAAAGCTGATCTTATATACTAGAAGTGGTCGCCAAATAAAATAAAAAAAAGAAAATACTAATTTTAAAAAATAAGGCTTAATAAGTTTAAAATGTCTCTTGTACATTCGATTCTTTTAGCAGACTAAGCAATTCGCGGGAAAACACACTAGCATTTTTAGATGGAAGCTTTCGAATACTTGATATTAGAGAATCCGAAGATATCAAGAACATGTGAAACAGGTCTTCATTTGTCTTTACTCTAGATGTTTTTCGAGTATTGTGTTCACGATAATGTCTATATTCTTTGTGCCTTGCCTCTTGGACATCTTCAGATAGTTGTCCAATTGGCAAAGACAAAGAGTTTATGATATCAGCACCGTGGATTAAAATTTTATACACGGAAGCTGGCATACAAAACCAAGGATAAAGTTTGACAAAATGCCTAGCTGTTTCTAGCGCATATGTTCTAAACGAATCCACATCTATATCAAAACCAGAGGATAATGCCTGAAGTAAAATTGAAAATTTATAAATTAGTTCTTCGTCAATATCTGTAATTTCGCTAGATTTTTTGTAATTTTCAAAAAATCTACGGGCCGTGTTACCGTCATTAGTGCTTCCATAACCTTGTTTCACAACATCAACCAGAAGACCCAATTCAGATTTAAACTTACTAATTATACATTTTTTTCTTAATTCAAAAGCAGATTTTTCATTTTGAGAACCCCGCACCTGCCATTTCTTAATGTCCAATCTATATGATAAATGAAGAATACATTCAAAAAACCGTATGTGAGCGTGTAACGTTGAAAGTCCCAATTCATATGCGTTATTGTTTATTGGACGTTTTAGAATTTCATCAATATTATTCATGTCTTTTGGACGTGCACCACAAACATAACAATTTTGAGAAGACGAATTTTTCATTAAATTGTTGCAAATTTTTCCATCGACCATAGTTTTGAATAGAAGATATTTAACAAAAATTTCTTGGCCTGAAGATAACAGCACCTTTGTTGGGGTTAATGCTGCTATTTCACTTTCTACTCTAGTTACTTCTAATTGCACCATTTCGGTTGTTTCTTTTGTAAATGCAAAACGAAGGGGTCTGCAAAATCTGGTCGATGAATTTCTTGGATTTTGCCAAATAATTCTTTTAAATGAATTAGAATTATTACGAAAATGAAGTCGTAGAGGCACTAATGACGTTAACAAGATATTAGAATCGTTAATATCGATGTTTTGGGTAAATTTTTGTTGGTATAATGAGTGACCACCGCTCCCATCTAAGCCCTATTTACAGTCAAGCTGACTAAAGTTCGTATCGTTTACAGGTATTTGGTTTAGTATCTGTACTAATACTTCATCTTGAACTGTAAGTAAACGCTGACTAGTATGATCTAACAAATCTTGTAATTTTACTACAGCACTATCTTCCGAAATTCTGGTATTTAATGGATAACATTGAGATTTAGATTTTAATACTAAATAATATGGCGGATAAAGATTTGCATTTCGTTCTTGTGCGCCTGTTTGCAATAAAACGTATTGGTGCATCGTCATCTTTGTATCCACGATTAATGCTAATGCTTCATCCGGCGAATAGGCTTTAGGAATTGTTTCGTTATCCATTGATTGATCAAAAAAAGTTTTGGCTTTTTTCAATATATCTGAGCTATTAGCGGTCACTACCTTATTTGTAAGGTTAGCAACACTTCTTTTTCCGGCTGATCTAAAACTAATTTCTGCAGCCAAAGCAAGTTCTTCAGCAGTTTTCGATTCAACCAAATGTGAAACCTTATTTTTTTGACTCTTAAAACTACATTCAGAAAAAGATTTTATTGGACGACCAACATTTTTGTTCTGATAATCGCTTACATGAGTAAAGAGGTTTGTTTGTAACCAACAAGAGTACTTTTTGTAAATTTTTTATAATTTTGATAGCACGCATTATATCTTGACAATAAATTGCTGCAAAACTGCTTTATATGGCTCAGTATTTCTGTTTCCGTTCCTTCCATTAAGCTATCGTCTCCGACTATTTCTTTAATATATTGGAATATTTTTTGTAATACTGGCGGACTAGTAGATTTTGAAATAAGCTTGTTTGCTTTTAAAAAGTTAACTACCTCCAAGCGTTTAATATAGGCAATACGTCTTAAAAAATGGCCTGGACTTAATAGACGGACTAGGACGGTAAATTTGTAGGTTTGGTAAAGTTGTCTAATAGTTTAACTATCAACTTAACTTTATTTAAAACTGAAACCTCATAAGACTTTTTTCTGCTAGTTCATTAAAAAATGTATATTCTAATAATTAAAAAAAAATCTAACCATATCAAAATTATTTACTCATATTTAATACTCAACAGAAGAACATTAATGTCAAAAAACTTACCAACAATTATTGTTCTTTCCATTTTATATAGTATTAATGACATATAACTTTTTGCACGGAATACGCAAATTAAAAACTTTACTCATGTGCAAATAACAAGATTATTTAGTTTAATTTGTCAACTATACTACATTTTCAATCAAAATAGCAGTAAATTCGCAACGACGTTTGACATATTTGATAATGAAATGTTCTTAGCAACTGTTTCAAAGCCTACTTATGGACTTTTTGACGCCGGTTAGCCTCATCAGATTTTTCAATAATTTCCTGTTAAT